CACCTAGCACCAGGAAAAGAGATGGAGGGAGTTCAGGAGAAAGGGAGGAGGAGGAAGGAGACGTGTGGGTTGAATGCCAGACCTGCAGATGGTACTGCCTGTTCCCCAGGACATCGTGGATGACCACCGTGTGGGAGGAGACGTACAGGAGCACCCGGTCCTCCCCGTCCATCAGGCTGTGCACAGCCAGGCTGCTGTTGTAGCCAAACACCCAGGACAGGTTCTGCAGGGAAGAGGCAGCTCCTGGCTCTTAGCAGCCGGGACAAAAAAAGCCACAAAAGATCTTTGGGGTGATGGGAGGGAGCTGGGCAGAGCGCCGGGCACTGCACCCACTGGTACTCACGAGGGGGTGAAGGCAGGCCTGCCTGTCCTCCTGGAAGAGCGTCCCCGGCGTGGCTGTCCACACCAAACTGGCAGAGCTGTCACGCCCATCGTCCTCCCCGCTCCTCTGCTGTGTCTCAAGCTCCCCATAGCCTGAGCGAGGACTGGAAACGACCCCCCTGGGCTCAGGCAGTGCTGAGGGAGGTCCAGCACCATCCAGGTGTGTTGTCCCAGCAGTGTCTGCTCCCAGGGCAGTCCCTAAGGCAGTCGTGTCTTGCCTCCCAGCCCAGGTGCTGGGCAGGGTGCCTGCCCTCTTCTCGGCAGCATCCTCTGATAATCCTTCCTTCTCCTTAGCAGCAGCAAGGGGGTCCTTGGAAAGGGAGAGAGGTTTTGGTGTGCACTAGCTCCTGGGCTAGTCCACAGCTAGTGAGAAAGGACCCCAGCACATCTCAGACCCAACCTACATCACTTCTAGGGCAGGCTCCAATGTCAGGATACTCCTCTGCTCCTAAACTGCCTATAGATTTGTGCCAGGGAAGTTTGCCACTGGTTGCTTCTCTTTCTGCACATCTTGCCTTGCCCTCATTGCACCTCCGCAGCATCCCGTGTCTCACACCACCACCTCTTCCCAGCAGCTCCTGTCACCTGGGCTAAGATGCCCGAGTTTCTCCTCCAAAACTAACCTATACACCCTTTGAAGGCAAGAAGTCTGGCCTTTTTGCTGTCCACCCCCTGACTGTTCTCCATGCGAGGGTTATTGATTACTGCAGTGGGGTGCACGGTCACAGGCTGGAGAGGGAATGATGGCAAATTGAGGTTAAAACCAGGGGACTCAGATCCTGGAACTGGAGCTGAGGTGGCTGCAAAGGGTTCTGCAGCAAGGCCAGCTCTGCCACCAGCGCCTCTCGCCGTGCTGCCTGGCAAGCAGACAGAAAGTGAGGGTAAAAATCCCACCACCACCTTCCTCAGCCCCTCACCAGACTTAATAAATGAATTAAGTAGCTCTGGGGTGTCAGAGTTCACAGCAGCCCCCAGACAGGATTTCCCCAGTCTGAGCATTGGCCGCTTAATCTTGTTCTTGGGATCCACATTAGCTTTTGCCTCTCCCCACGGGGCTACTTGATTTCCTATTGCAATCTCTCATGCAAGACATAAACCTCATTTGGACACCGTTTCTGTTTCTGAGGGAGGTAAGATAACATTTCATTCGGTGCAGAGAGGAGGCTGCGCTCCCTCCTGCTCACGTAACTCTCAGGCGGCTCAAGTGCTCAGCAAATATTGATGACTGGACTGAGACTACACGGAGATGCTGCATCCACCGAGCCCCACTGGTGGGGTTCCCACTCTGCCCCCCCAGTGACATCTCGAGAGAAACCCTGGTCCTGGAGCTGGGGGATCTGCTTCCACCAGGGCCTGCCCGTGGACCCTGTGTCAGGCAGGGCTTGTGGTGGTGCTGCCCTCACCTGCTCGGGCAGCACGGCCGTCTCCTGAGCTGTCTGTCCATCTGGTGACATCTCCATGGGCTCACTGCTTACTCCTGTTCTTCCTCCAGTTGTCTCCTCTGGTATAACTTCCCTTGACCCATCCATCCTCGCCCTCCTTCTAGGGAGCTGGGGCAGGGAGATGCTTGGAAATACTCCCCCCACCTCACAGGCTCTGGCCGCACAGCCACCTGGAATTTGGCACAGTGGAAGGAAAGGACACTTGTGAAGCTGGAAAAGTGGTCCCAGAGCCCCTTTTCAGCTCCGGTAATGCTCCAGCCGAGCACAAGCGATCCCACACAGCCTCGGTGACTCCAGCTGAGAGCAGACTCCCTCCCACTCCGCCTGAACGCTGCGCCGGGCAGGGGCAGTTCCCCCCAGTGGGGTTTTGGCACAGTCCCCATAAGCAGCAGGGCTACTCCTGGGGGGCAGCTGCTTCACCTCCAGCTTCACGGGTCTGGATTTGAGCCAACACTGGAGCCTTGTGCACAGAAAGTTTTCACGGGAGTGGGAAGGGGGCCCTGGGAAAAACCCTCCCTCCGGCCCCAGCCCCACAGGTCTCACCGGGGTGACCACAGAATCGTTCCCAAGCCTCCTCCAGACCTTGATGCCTCCCCAACCGCCCTGAGAACCCCCCCTGGGGATGCCACCGCTCACCGTCGCACCAGTCCCCGCTCTGTTTGCCTCCGACCGCCGTTCCCAGGCAACGGCTGCACCGGCTGCCGCCAGCGACAGCCCCGAACGCGCCGGGGAGAGCGGGAGGGGGCTGTACGGGGCGAGAAGGGGCCCCCTTCATCCCACCGGCTGCCAAGGACAGAGCCCTGCCCAAACCTGGTGGTGTGGGAGACGTTCAGCCCTTTGCCCTGCCCAAGCCTAAATCCTGCTCGTGGCTGTGACAAAGTCCCTCTTGGCATCACCAGACCCCTTCGGGACGAACCCTCACCCTGTCTGGAGAATGGGACAAGGAGTGTTTTACCCAATGTGCGCCCCCCAGGTGTTGTGGGCAGCTTCTGCTCCCTTGGCCCCCCTGAGCAGGACAAGCAGAATAAAAGCAAGAAAAAATCAGTCTCCAACCACTGCCAGGTCCCCCCACCACCCCCAGCTCTCTGCCAGGACGGCACTTGCACAAGGGACCCCATTCGCAGGGATCACTCCAAGCAGTCGCCTCCACCACTGCAGATAATCAGCTCTAAGCACTCCCAATTGTTGACTGCAGCCTTGCTGTTAAGCTCAAATAATAACAATTTCTAAATCTAATTTGTTTTTCCTTCTGCCCAGCAAGAGCCTCATACCCTGCTGGGAGAGGAAAGGAGTTTTGTTATCAGCTCACATTATCTCCTCGACCTGAAGAGGCTGCTGCACAGAGGCGGGTTCTCAAAACACAACTGCTCTCAACTCCTCCTTTGTGGTAACAACCAGCTGCTTCAAATCAAGGGAGTTTTATGGCTTCAGGAGCAGGGATTTGGTCCTTAAACCCCCTCTCTGCTAGGTGCAGGAAGGCAGCCTTGTGCAGTGCATCAGCACCCACACACCAGGCTTGTCCAGATACAGTGCTTTTCTTCCCAGACAGCAGCATCCAGTCCACGTTCCCTGATCATGTAGGATAGCAGGAGCCATCTCTGCTCTCCAGCACAAAAATCCTATTTATTCTGACAGAGAGCAGCTCCTCTTCTGCTCTGGTCCTACAGCAGAAGTTTGAGCGTGGTCTAACGAAGCAGCTCAAATCTTACCTGTCCACAGCAGGTTCTGCAACATAACGTGTTTATTACACTTGCTGGGATCGTTCAACCCGTTCTAGTCAGGACACCCAACCGGCAGGTCTGCGGACGCAGCGGTTAGGACAGGAGGTTGAAGATGCACTCCTACAGAAGTTTCACAGAGCTGAGAGTCCTCTGAAGCGTTCAGAGACCCTCCACACTGAAAGGGAAATGAGCTCCCCAGAGCAGGAGTTAACCTGGCTGACGGGGCTGGACTGATCCCCTAACCTCATTTCAGGAGCAGTACAGAAAGCTGGGATTTTCTAGATCATTTCATCCCAGGAGGCACAAACGCTAAGGCCTGGAAGGATGCGTCACGGGAGCTTTTCTTCTCCTGGACTGGTATCTAGACCCAGATTAACCTGCAGCTCGGGTAAAAGCGAGCCACAGCCAAGGCCAGCCCCTTGACAGTCTGACATTTCAGCTGCAACTTGATACCCAGTTTATCCACATACTTACACCTACATTTTAGTTTATAGGGACAAAAGAGAGGGGCAGCTTGCAGACACAGGTCCAGTTACATTCAGAAACTGCAGCAGCACCTACAATTCAGCCACCCTTTTGCAAAAAAACAAGGCTCCCAAACCCGACGTGTGCATTTCAAAATTCTGATTTTACATACATCTATCGAGACTCTGGTCCTGTGCAAAGACTCAGCCCTCCTACAGAACAACTCCACGGGGAGTAACTACAGCCAGGGACATCACACTGCTTCCCAGCAGGATTTCAGAGGGGGTCTGGGAGACGCAGTGGCCTCTGTGGGTCACAGTGCCTGGTGGGGGTCAGCAGTGCAGGCTCAGCCTCCGAGCTGCTCTGGTAAAGCAAGACAGGATGCACATGCAACAGAGTCCCAAAATGCCTCCCCTTCTGTTATCCTTCAAGAAAAGAGATGAGGCATCACAGTGCTATGTTTCAGCCCTTTGAAAATTACTTGGAAGATCAGGGTGAGACTGCGTTTGATGGGGATTATCTAGACACGATCTGATCCAAGGAACGCTGCCACGGGCTGCTGCAGCAACGCTTCCTTCGTAGCGCCTGCAGGAATCGCCCAGCAAGGAGCTTTGCTTTGAAGCTTTATGGTTTCAGTGAGAATCTGCTCTGTTGGACTGTAGGCTGAAACACAAACGCTTGAAATATCAAAAGAGTAAATCTACTCAATTTACCACAGAGCCCTGGGTGAGTGATTTCAAAGTCTGGGGCTTAGTCCGCTTTTTCAGTCTAATTTCAGGTCTGGTTAATAACAGTTATAGCAAAATTGCTCATTACATGTGATGTGTTGTGTCACAACCTGGTTACGAAGCAGTAATCAAAGCACCTTACCTGGGCTTCGGCTCTGGAAGGTCAGGGGTCATGCTGTTTTGTCTGTGCAGATCTGTGTTTAACCCACCCAACCCAGCTCACAACTACTGCCCAAAACAAGAACTTCTATAAGAATGGAGAGAGGTGTAACTGGGTTTTATTGTTTTGGGATAGTATTTTGAAGTTCAACGGGAAACAAGCTTAGAACAAACCAATCATCCTTGAAATCCCCTCAAAGAGTTTGTACACACCAAAACCAACTACCACAAATAAAAAAAAAAATTTTTTTTAATTTGAAAAAAAAAAAAAAAAAGAGAAGCCAGACTAGGAGTAGGAGTACTTCTATCACAACTATATGAACTACTGAAAGTAAATCAAAGTAGAATTATAACCCTTATTCCTCATCTCATTAACTTAAAATAATCAGGCATTCCAAAAATTCTTTCATCAGGTTTAGTGACTTCAAAAGTTGTGGTAACATGGGGAAGATAAAAGTATCAAACTTGCATATTTCCTGACTGTCATCTACTATTACAGATATCAAAAAGTGCTCTGGGATTTTTGAGCACATATTACATGTTGTTCAGTGAGAACTCTACAGAGGACAAAAAGGAATGCTCTGTTATCACCAAACAGGAGGATTTCATGCACTTTAGAGCCTGTATCATGGGAAGTTTGGGTCTCTCTAGAGCCTCATTCCAAACCGATGTGAGAAGCCACATCTTGTACCTCTGCAAGCTACTCCTGACGATCCAGTGCAATTCTGCACAGCTGGCAGGCCCTGCTCTATCAGAACCCGTCAGACTCTGTGAGTCTGGCACGGAGAAGCCACAGCCTCTGAAACATTCACTTCAGCAATAACAGGTAGGGAAGTTTTCAAACCAGATCAGAGTCCAGAAAGCAGGCACAAACTTCAGCTTTATTGTTTTCCAAGCAGTGGTCATCTTTGCAACGGAATGATATTGCAGCTGAAAAAGAAGACGGTAGAAGAAAACATTAAAGCCTCAAACGGGCATGAATCTGACCCACCACAACCCTCCTCCATTGGTTTTCTCTGCCAGACAAACTAGCCACTGAGCCCCTCCTCCCTGCGCTCACGTTTGCTGCAACTCGCCTCCTCGTATCGCTGTGCAAAACCGTCAGCCTCCAGCTCTCAGCTGCACCCGCCAGTGAAGTCCATCAGAACAGAGAGCAAAGCAGAGAGCTGGCCAACACACACCGAGAGCAAAGCAGAGAGCTGGCCCTGCTGCAGGAAACGTGCTCTGAGCTGCCCGAAAGCTCATCTCTTCTGGGACGTGAAAGCCAGCTTACCCCAGGAGGCCCTTCCCGGCCCAGCGCTTCGGAGTCAGCCCCACGTGCACTTTTTTGCCGCTGCGGATCACAGTCACACTCAGGGGTCTCTGAAAGGGAGAGAAAAAAAAACAACGTAAAAATAAAAGATGGCAACTTTCCATCACCAAGTCAACTCCCTTCTTTGTTGTTCTGCTCAAACACCAGAAGAACATCAGGCCTAAGGGAGCTGTTCTTCAGCAGTGCCTGTTTCCATCCCCGCACTGAGATCTGGAAGATCATCTGGCAGAGAGACACCTCCAGGCGATCCCTCACTTCCACAATGAAGTGCTTGATGATTCTCTGGCAGCTTATTTGGCCCGTCCACAAGTCATGAGGGTGGCACAGCAACGCAGCCCACTGCTGCAGGGAGTCCCCAGGGGAGAACAGACAATATGATGCTCACAGCAAAGAGCACACACGCCTCTGCTCTCTCCTATCCAGCAGGAATTAGCTCAATGCTGTGAGAGAACGAGGCTACAACAGCACAGACTGAATCTGACACAGAAATGATGATCCCAGAGATCCAAGTTCCATAGAAAAAGCTGTGGCTAACAGAGACAGGCAAGAGAATGCAGTTACAGCAGAACTGAGCTCACCCCTTCGCTGTGCTGCACCACTGTGGCGATGTTCTGCAAGTTCTGGAAGTTGTTTATGTTGACGGAACCAAACTCCACAATCTCATCATCAATCTGAAGTCCCTGGACAGAGACAGGAGAGAGGTGAGCAACTGCCTTCTCCAAAGAGAGGTGATATTACAGGAGCATCACCCTTCAGCCAGCCACGTGGGGAGAGATGTGCTGTGACACTGCTCATCCCACCACCCAGGCAACTGACCTATGTTATATCCTCAGGAAGCTGTAAGGACTCATTCCTCTGTCCTGCTTTATGGGAAGAGAAATACTGGGACTAGAACAGTCAGCAAGGCCTGGGAGGAGATGTGTGGCGCAACAAAACAGCTGAGAAGAGAGCACTCATCGCGTTCCCATACAGTGACTAAAAAAAAAAAAAAAAAAAAAAAAAGCATAAAAGCAGGGGGAACCCTAATCAAACCCTCATTCCCACTTATTAACAAATGGCAGAGAAAGCCATCTGCTGTGTTTTCTCTCTGGGTCCAGGAGCAGCCTCCCCATGAGCTGTCAGACCCCACCAACTCACCGAGATACTGGCGGGAGATCCCGGAGTCACCGCGTTCACTTTGGCAAACGCCTGGGGCAGGTTCTGGCTCAGCGCCTCAGCCAGCGCCTCCGCCTCGTCCTTGGCGTGCTTCTCCTTCTCCCGGGCGTGCAGCTGGTGAAGAGCTTCCTCCACCTGCTTCATCAGGGCCTTGTGATCGTTCTGCAGACCTGTGGGTGACACCGTTAGCACGCGGCAGCAGGACCGGTCACATCGAAGGCTCTTTCTCGGCGCACACTCTCCTCCCCAGCTGCACCCCAGAAAATGGTCTGGGTGCCTCGGATCCCCGCTGCAGGTAGAGACAACCTCTGCTGGGGGATCTGCTGGGTCCTGCTGCCAGCCCTGCAGGTTAGACACTGAGAAAACCGCCCTACAAATTCTGATTAAACACACAAGGCCCACAGTCACCAAGAAAGCATCAAGAAGCTTTTTTCCATCGTCACATGCTGTTACATACAGAGAGCAAAAGCCACCCCAAAATACCAGGCATAGGGTAAGCCTGGGAAGAAATAAAATGCCAAGCTATTTTTTTTTTTTTTACCCAAAGCTTATGCTACAAACAACACAAAGCCGCACCGCTGTATTTCACGAATCCCAAAGGGCTCCACAGCAGAAACAGGATTTTCAAGGCCGCTGCAACAAGACGCGGACGAAAGCGTTTTACTGATAACCCGATCCCCACCGGCTACGAGCAGGGAGCAAAACCCCCGGAAAACAAACCGGGAGCATCCCCGTTTTTCAGAGCTTGAAGAAGTGCGGTGAGCGGGCCGAGGGACACGGCCTTTGGGCTCAGAACCGCACACGCATTTCCGTAACGGGGAGCCTGGTCCCGGCCTGGAGTCG